ATGATTTCTGGCATGGACTGGAGATCTCCTCTTGTCCTGCTTGTGTATCCCTGTTTTCAATCTCTGTGGCTTCCCTGATCTTTGCTTCCTCCTCCTTCCACACAGCCAACTCCTCATTTCTGAAATAGGCTTTTCTCTCCACCCAGTATATCCTGCAAGGTCACTGCCATATGGGGTGGCAAAGAAATGATAGATATATTTATAGCAGTTAAGGAAACTATATTTTGGATTTGGAGAACTTCCCCCACCTAAACCTTCTCCTATAATAAACGTTTGAAGTCTTTTCCATGTAGCTTACCTTTTTTTCCCTTAAACCATAGCAGCAATGTCACACTGAGGTTTCTTTCTCTGTCCAAGTGCCACGGTACTAAAACATATTTCTCACTACATTGTGGCTGAAGGGAAAATTATTTCTAAGTTTTTTTTTTTTAGCCACAAGTATACAGTAATTAAAACATTATTTGTAAACAGGAACAAGAAATAATTTATAGCTTATGGGTAATCACTTTATTCTTTCATGACTTACATATTTATGTGTTTGGATAAAACCCATGAATACTAACTGGCTCTTTATTCCAGTAAATGAGACTGGTTGGGAGTGAATTGGAGAAGGAAAGTGTGGGGCACATAATTGAAGAATAAGATGGAATAGTGGATTTGAGATCTATGTCTGTCACTGAATCATTTTGTGACTTTAACTAAGTACAACACTCCGTGCTCTGATTCTCTACCTGGAAGATTATGATAATATGACTGTCTGTAAAGTATGGAATGAAAGTCTTTTTTTTTTTAAAGGGAGAACATTAAAAAGATTTTTGGATTTTGGATCTAAACAGGCTAACATTCAAAACAAGAGTCTGGGAAATGAGAATCCTTGTTAAGCCTGAAACATTTTATCCTTGGTTAATAGAGTTTGTAATATTTGAAGGAGCTTTTTTTAAATATAGGGTTTCACCAAACTGATAATACTCATACGTCATTTAGCCAGAGAGACAGATGAATGAGCAGTTTATAAACGATGAAATACATTTGGCCAAGAAACATATAAAACAATTATCACCCTCACTAATAATATAAAAATTGCAAGCTAAACAATGAGGTAGTTTTTTTCCACTTTACAAATTGGAAAAAAAGTTAAAGAGTCTAATTATGCAAGTCCAACTTTGGTGGTGATATGGAAAATGCACATGTGGTGAGACTCTAAGTCAGTTTGGATTTTCTCCTTCTCTTTTCCTTCACTGGTCCCAAGAGGGTAAAGATGATCCCAGGCTGGGAGTTGACACCCACATCAGCCATTACCATCTAGTCAGAACCTTCCATGGCATGGGTCCCTGTATGAAAAAAGGGAAAATAGGAGGAGTGGTTTGTTTTTTTTTATACCTAACCATGTGTTGGCATGAAACACAAACTTAGCAAAAAGAAACAATCCCTCTTCCTTTCTCCCCATGGATAACAATACTCAACAGACAGTAGGAAAAGGCCAAGAGTTGGACCTATTTAAAATAGACCAAGAAAACTGAGGGAAAAAAATGTGTCTAACTGCTTTAGGGTGAGGCTCCTACCCACCACAACTCACCCTAAACCAGCAGATCCCTATAAGCACTTGCTTCATCGATAACCTTTTTTAGGTTACCTGATGTTCTTGTATTCAACTCACTAATATGTTGTGGTCCCAGTTGAATCCAGAAGGAAATGGGACAGGGCCAGAAGAGAGAGCAGGATCTAGACCAGATCTCTGTGGCCTGGCTGTCCGCGGGGAGGCAGAGTAGAAACTGGGGTGGCCACAGGCCATACCTGAGAACAACACAAGGTCGCTTTCCATGGACTTCTTGACATGGTTTGATGCCTCAGTTAAAGAGCCCGCATTAATCTTGAGACCATTCTCCTGGATCAGTACTCCACCTGCAGGCAGCAGGTCACCTAGTGCACAGAGAGGAAGGGGCAACATGGAAAGAAGGGAGGTAAGAGCTGGTGGAGGGTGAGGACCATTCAACCCATGTTAGGGCTGCCTCCATGGCTCTACATATAGGACAATGGCCCAGGGAGTATCTGGAGAGCCTTTGAAAGACAACTTTAAGCTCTAACACCTGAGACAAAACTCCTTTCCAGGTATCATAAATTCAAGTAATTAATGATCCCCAAATACCCTCCCATAGCCTGAACATTATATAATTTTAACCCTAAGACACACAGGGTACAAGGCTGACAATCTTTTGGGAGAGTTTCAGTTACTTTTTTCTTTGAATTTCCTTCCCACAACTTCCTTAAATGCTAATCTAGAAGCTAACGCAATCTAGGGTCATATCTAGAAGTTTTATTTGGTTCTTTTTATATTTTCCATTTCTTTCATTATACTAACGTTTTCCTTTAAATCTTGACTACATATATAATAGTTGTTTTAAATTCCTTATCTGCTGATTTCATCATCTATGCCATTTCTGAGTCTGTTTTTATTGACTGATTTTTCTCCTGTTTATGGTTTACATTTTCCTGCTTCTTCACGTATATAGGGCGGGGCAAAAGTAGATTTATAGTTGTTCATATGGAAAATAATACAATCATTAATAAATAATAGTACAAGAATAAACTCTGTTTCATGTATTCATAACTGTAAACCTACTTTTGCTCCAACCTATATAGAAAATTTTTATTGAACACTGGACATTGTGGGCATTACATAGTTTAGTACCTGGATTTTCTTGTCTTTCTTTAAATATTATTAAGTTTTGATCAAGCAAGCAGTTAATTTACTTGCAAATTAGCTTTTTCAGTTTTGTTTGGGTGGGTCTAGAATAGCCTTCACTCTTGGGCTAGTTTAGCCTTATCTTTGTAACCTGAAAAATTTGAAAATATTTATTTGCTAAGATATCTGCACTCTTGTGTTCATTGCAGCATTATTCGTGGTGGCCAAAATAAGGAAACAACTGTAGTGTCTTTTGCCAGGTGACTGGATAAGGAAGGTGTGGTACATATATACAATGCAATACTACTCAGCCATAAGAAAAGATGAAATACTGCCATTTGCAACAACATGGGTTGATTTTGAGAATATGATGTTAAGGAAAATAAGTCAGACAGAAAAAGTTGAGAACCGTATGGTTTCACTCATATGTGGGATGTGAAACTGAAAGCGACAAATGAACAAACAAGAAATACAAACAAAAATGCAAAGATATAGACAACAGTATCGTGGTTACCAGAGAAAGGAGGATGGGGTAAAGAGGGTCAAATATATGGTAATGGAAGAAGATTTGACTCTGGAGGGTGGGCACACAGTGCAATATACAGATGATGTATCACAGATTTGTACACATGAAATTATTGAGGGAGGGAGGTAGGGGCGGGGGGCAAGGGAAAGTGGTGGCTAGAAGGTGGAGACAAATGTATTTGCACAATAAAAAAATAAAATGAAATAAAATTTAAAAAAGAAATTAATTAGTCCTGGGGACTTAATGGATAGCACAGTAACTATGGTTAATAATGCTGTGTTGCATATTTTAAAGTTGCTAAATCAGTGCAAGTTAAAAGTTCTCATCACAAGCAAAAATGTGTAACTATGTGAGGTGATGGGTGTTAACTAGACTTACTGTGGTGATCATTTCACAGTATTTAGAAATATTTTAAAAAATAAAAATGAAAGCTTCTTAAATATTTAGTATATCTAATGCTATTAAAAAATAAGGTAAAAGTAGTTCAAAGTCTTGGTAAATAGGCCTGCCCTTTCCTTCTAATACTTGTGCATTTCAAATATTCCTACCACATTTTAGCTTTCTTCACAGAACTGCTCACAAATCACTTCTCCAATTTGCAAAGAGTGCTGAAATTAGATTTAAAACAAAAGTCAGCAGGCAGGAAAGAAAGAAAAAAAGCTTCTTCCTTTTTGACACATAAATATATTATTAAAATATTTGCTTCTCTTTTTTATGTGAGATTTATAATTACATACATTAGAACTAAAATTTTGTAAAAAAAACAACCCCTATATAATCCTATTAAGTAATGTCACCCCAATAAACTTAATTAAAAATTAATATAAATGGAGCCACTTTAAAATGGAGTCAGAGCTGTCATCCAAGAGGAACTGCCTTGTACATCTTATGTCTCAAACCTTTGGAATGTTGCTGAAATAGGGCAAAACGACCTTTGGACTCGGCCTAAAGCAGCATTGTGTCCCAAGGAACTGTTTGCAAAGATAACAAGAAAGCAGATATTATGACTACCATACTGAAAAATTAACTGTTAGCTTATTTGCACCAATAGAAATGCCTTCTTTCTATAGATGTAGCCATAATTGCTCTCCTTTCTCATAAATACCCCTTTGCCTTCTAATTGGAATGTTATTTGGGTTTCTGCCTGGATCAGTGCTTTCCTATTCTTTTCTTTCTTTTTTAAACTCAAGTAAGTGCTTGTTGCCTCTCACTTTGGCCTTTTATTTTTAAAATAACATCTCTCAAGCGTGGTCTTTCTGAGGTAGCTCTACAAAATGCCCAGGTGTGTTTGATAAGGTTTCTCTATTCGTTGGTCAAAAACTTAATGTTTCCTGATTCTACTCAAGTTCTAGCAGTTGTTCAGCTTTTAGTTCCCCAGTAGTTGTAATTTAATCATTCCATGAAGTCTATCCTTAAAGCTACACCAAATATTCAAGACGACTCTTCATTTCTTTTTTAAAGATTTTATTTATTTATTTTTAGAGAGAGGGTAAGGGCGGAAGAAACGGAGAGAAACATCAATGGGCTACCTCTCGCAGGCAGCAGGCAGGAGATTCGTTTTAGGAGACAAAGCCTAGTCTCAGCACAGGAGTTAGCCATCTCTTGGCGCAGGTGCGTGAAAAACTGCCAATCACTCCTGGAGTGGGTGGGACTACCTCGCCCCCAGAGGGGACGGGTCAGTGTGTCCTCCCCACAAAACCTGATTGGCCTGGGCGAGCCCAGGGTATGGGGGCGGGGCTTGATCCTGGGCGGCAGCCACGTTGGACGCTGGGCTGATCCCACAATGCACTGCGTGCTACGTGACTCGGAGCGGCGAGTCCCGGCTCCACAGGTATGGACCGGCCCCTCCCAGTCCTTGTTTCTTTACTGTTGGGGTCGCTCCAACCCCTGGCCGGTCGCTCCGCTCACTCACCCCGCCTCCTGCTACGGCCCTGGCCCCTATCCTTCGTGTCTACAGACCTATCCCAGGACAGGAGCCAAGCCCGAACCATGGGGGCTGGAGCTGGGTGTCGTTGGAACCACCGAGCTCGGGAGGAGCGGGATGGGGGGACTTCGTCCCTTTCCACTTGCGAGGTCTATGGGGTAGTGCGGGCGGCGGTTGCCCATAGGCTGGCCTTCCATGGGTATGAGGCAGCCGGGGCAGGGGGACCGACTGGGAGGGACAGTCGTTCTGAGCTGTCAGCAACAGAGAGCATACTTTGGCGCCCTGGTATCAGAAACACCGTGATCCACCTAAGTTGCTTTGGTGCCGCAGAGAGCTTGACGTCACATTTTCTATATCTTCTAGGCGGCGTGGAATTTGAACCATAGGCTAACTTCGCGTTTCTTGGGGACTGAATGAGCATTGAGCTCAGCTTTTTGCCCGCGTTGGCTCTCCGAAACCTCATCAGGCCTTGTTAGTGGCACTTTGGGAATGATGTGACAGAGACCCGATCAATTGACTTGACAAGTGGAAGAGATCTTCAAAATAGGAGGCAAAGTCCCAGCTGGCTTGGCTCTTTCTGCCAGTGAAAGCAGCTTTGGACTTTTTTGTGCTCCATTGTTTCCTGTGTCATCCATCTGGGGGTAGTTGGCTAGCTTGAAAACCAGTCCTTCGTATGCCTGTTCAGCCACTGCAAAACCCAGGGCTAACGTAAGTGACAGCCACCAGACTGGAGATGTTAGGGGGTCCCAGCTGACAGGTGGAACAGCCACTTTTAAAACTCCCTGCACCACATTCTACGGTACTGGTGTTTGCTCGTGTGCTGAGATTATAAGGAATTAGGCAGTAGGTACTTAAATAGTACCTATGATTTCAGGTATATGAAGGTTGTAGTTCAGTAACTGGATTTGACATCTTCGAACATACCCTAAGTTATAATGGGACATCCAAGCATTTCCTAGGTTGAGAACCCATGATCTCAGTTCAGTGCTTGTTTTGGTGTATAACTGATTTTTAAAAATCTAAGTATACTTTATATTGGTGTATAAAAGAAGCCCAGCTTTTATCAAAGGGTGTGTGTGTGTGTGTCTGTAACCTTCCTTTCCATGTAGTTGAGTAAGAAGCTTGGTTGAGAGGCAGTGCCTCAGAGGGTGATTAGAATTAGGCCTGAGTTTAAATCTGTCACTTGCTAATCTAGTGACTGAATAAATTACTTAACGTTTCTGAGTTTGAATTTCCTCAAAGTAAATGGAATTGATAATACCTACCTCACAGGTTATTGGAAGGCTTACATGAAGTAATGTGTGTAAAGTACCTGGCAAATAGAGGGCAGTCGATAAATAATAATAGCAAACAGTGTTGTACTTTGCAATGCTTCAGGTTCTTTACATGTTCTTTACATGTTCCTGTAAGGTAGATACTATTGGTGTCTTTAAAATAACCCTATGAACCCTGGCTGATGTGGCTCAGTGGATTGAGCGCTGGCCTGTGAACTAAAGGGTCAGAGGTTCGATTCCCAGTGTAGGGCACATGTGTGTGTTGCAGGCCAGGTCCCAAGTAGGGAGTGCATGAAATGCAACCACACATTGGTGTTTCTCTCCCTCTCTTTCTCCCTCCCTTCTCCTCTCTAAAAATAAATAAATAAATAAAATCTTAAAAAATAAAGTAACCCTATGAGATACGTATTCTTAGTAGCCACAGTTTACAAATGAGGAAATTGAGTATAGAAAGGCTCAGTACATGATGGAGCCAGTTTTTGAGCCCAGGCAATCTGTTAATTACTTCCTCTTAAAGAAAATGTAAGCTGGTCTTTTATTATTATGTCAAAATGAGTAGCTAGATAATTTCTTTATCACTAGGTTCTTGCCTTGTGTTGGTTTTAGGAGACTGGTGTAGCGCAGTAACGTAGAGATAAAAGAAACTTAGGTTCAAGCACCAGTTCTGTCATGTATTAGCAGTATGACATTGAGAAAGGGAGCCTTTGTTTCCTCACCTGTAAAATGAAGGTTATACCTACTCGCTGTTTGTAAACTATGAGGTGCTACACAAATGTTGGGGACTGGCACACTTGTGCATGTGTCAGGGACCCTGTTCCTAGATGTGGGGATAATGTACTTTGGAGCCCGAGGTCTTATACATACTGCTCAGTGCAAGCACCTATAATAGGAGTATTAAAGGCTGCTGAAGAGGTTGCATGTGTGTTGAGGGGGACAAACTGCAAAATAAATTCTGGTTGTCCTTGGCACCCTTTCCTCTTTTGTTCTTCAAACTGTTTCCCAAGTGCCTTCTTGCTAACCTATGGCTATGTAAAGAACTCGCCTTTTCACTCAGTCTTGCCCCAACTCTGTGCATCACAGTTAGTATAGCTTTCTCCCCACATACACCCCCTCCCAATTCTCACAGATCTCTGTTAGTACTTCAGTAAAATAATATGTACCAAGATAGTTTTTATCAAATTTTGGTACCATCAGATAATTTGTGCGATAGGCCGATGAACATTAAAACACAAAATTCTCCAAAAATTTTCACACACACATATTTCAATAAAACCCCCAAATTTCTCTATTTTAATGTATTAAGTTAGGAGAAAAATATAACACATCAAAACTGATTTCGCAGATACTATTGCTAAGGGTAGGGCACAAAAGTCAATTGAAAGACATAATAGGTAGATAATACAGGTAGGATGCAGATATGCTAAGAATTCTGAAAATGGTACTTGGATGAGTGAAGTTTGAGAAATAATGAACTAAAATAAAATATGAGTGATTAACCCAATAAGAATGTTTTTATCTTAAAAAAGAAATTTATGTTGCTAGAAAATAGATAGAAAGTGTACTTATACACTGAATTTTGTTTATTACTTTTTGAGAGATTGCCTTGCTGGTACCTTGGGCCCACAGTCATTACACCACAAGGTTCCTTTCTCAGTGTATGTTTTAGGAAATAGGAATCTTTTTGTCTTTCAAGTCATGAAGAAAGGAGTAGCTTTAGAGAGTACATGGAAGTTAGCACCCTCTAATAAAGATAATTTCTAATATTCCTGTTGGGATCCTAGAGGGATCAGGCAGTTTACTTTTAAAAACTAAGTATATGGATGTTTGGAAACTATAGGTCACGACCCTGCCCTCATTTTAATTCACAGAGTAAACCTTGTGTTGTAGTATATTTCTGTAAAGAAAAAGTTTTATATTTAAATAATAAATATGTAAGGTGTGAAATAAGACATTTTCCTACTTAGGCTAAATGTTGCAACTGTGGTTTAATAATTAAATAAAACATGTCAACAATTTTTAAAAGGGGATTATAATATGTCTTTTATCCCTTGAGGAATTCCAGCTTTCTCTTACTACTGCTTTTAGAAGAGTAAAGAAACTGATTGAATAGGAAAAAAATTGATTTGGATATGTCATATTGGAACTTTAGTTCAAAGAATCCGTTATGGTAAAGGCTAATTTGATTCCTGCTGAGTTTTTTTCCTTTTAAGTAAATAGAGGACAAAAATATTAAAGGGTATTAACATGTTAATATCCAGCTATTCCTATCATTTCCTCATGAAAACATGAAAAGGAGGGAGAAAATTTTACCTTAGTATTATTTTTTGGATTAATTTTTATTGTTACTTACCATCATGAATTGGCAGTCAAGATTTTGACTTCACATAGCAGTAAAAACTAGGGACTACTGATTTTCAAACTTGGTACCAGTTAGTTTTCTATGACATTTTTTGATGTATTACTAACTCAATTTTTCATTTTTGGAAGGAGATAAAATTGACATAGCTGAACTGGGCAGGTAAGGATTAACTTAGTCTCTGAGATATAATATCATGAAAAAAGCATATGAAATTGTTTCCAGATTTTTCCATTTTCACCAGTTGCTAGTGAAAGAGAAACATATAGTAGCCTTATGTTCTGATGGCCCGATAGAAAACAGTTGCCACTTAATTTCACACTGTGAACATGTTTTAATTCAGTGTTTTTCAAAGTATAATGCTTAGACAATAGCATAGTAATTACCTGGGGAATTTGCTAAAAATGAAAGATTCTCAAGTCCCATTCCACAGTCCGTGGATCAGAAGTTTTTTGGAGGTTGGCTCAGAAATCAGCATTCCTAACCACACTTCCAATGATTTTTATATAAGCTAAAATTTGAAAACTAGTATATTTTTTTTTATCAAAGTTTGACTGTTTACTTGATTCTTTCAGACCCAGACCTATGTAGTTCTTTTATCTATTTTTGTAAAGCATGATCAGAACCTAATAAGAGAGGCCATTATGATTTACTTCCTGGTAAAATGATTGAGAATATTATTAAAACCAGTAATTCCTTTAGCTTTCAGATTTATATTTTTTCAGTTTTTGCTTTTTATTTTTTGCAATATTGTTTATGCTGTTACAGTTGTCCTGATTTTTCCCCCTTTGTCCCCCTCCATGCAGTCTGCCCCCGACTCCCACAGTCAATCCCCACATGCCCATGAGTCATGCAGATATACTCTTTGACGAATCCCTTTACCTTTCAATCAGTCCCCACCTCCCTCTCCCCTCTTTCAGCTGTCATTCTATCCCTGCTTCTCTTTTGCTTGTTAATTTATTTTGTTCATTAGATTCCACTTATAGGTTAGATCATACGGTATTTGTCTTTCACTGACTAGCTTATTTCACTTAGCATAATAGTCTCCAGTTCCATCCATACTGTTGCAAAAAGTAAGAATTCTTTTTTACTGCTGTGTAGTATTCCATTGCATAAATGTACCAGCTTTTTACTTCACTGATCTACTGATGGGTACTTAGGCAGTTTCCAAATCTTGGCTATTATAAATAATGCTGCTGTGAACATAGGGGTGCATATGTTCTTTTGAATCAGTGTTTTGAGATTCTTAGAGTATATTCCCAGCCGTAAAATCACTG